CATTGGTGGCCCGTGCCGGCATCGGTGCCAATGGCTTTGGGCTTGGACTGCCGGGATAGTGTGAGAAGGAACTGGGACACTAGCTTTTATTGAGCTAGCTTTGGAGGGTTTCAGGTGAGTTGTGACCGACTACCTGGGTAGGATGTGTGGGGTTGAGTTGAGGATTATTTTTGGGCCGGTATTGTGGCTGCATGTCTAGGGGACGCTGGGCTGGATGCAGCGCGGAATTCCACTTGTCCTATCAGATGAGCTTTGACTGGTGTCAAGAGGTAGTTCAGGCTGTGGATCCATGGTTGCTGCCGGGGGCAAGTGCTTTGGTCTTTGTTGCAAAAGTGTTCTTGTTTCAAGTTTTGGTAGACCTTCGCAAAAACTTGGTGAATTGAGGTTGCACTAGAATTTGAGAGGAGGGTGGTGCGGTTTTCACGGGTGAAGGCCGTCACCATGCTCGTGACAATATATTTTTGGAGTTGTGGAGGTATTGGGGAAGTGAGGGTTTTGGCATGTGTGGGCACAGGTACAAGCGAGGTACGTATAAAAAGGCACAGATATTCCAACTTCGTACGGGTCAAGCGTACACCCTGAGCCCTCAATCCTAAACCCCAAGCACTATACCAAATCCTGAACCCTAAGCCCTCAACTCGAAACCGTCCGTTTTAGGGCATCGCGCCAGGATTCGAACTTCTACATCTGGGTGCTACCACTGGTGCTGGTGGAGATAGGGTTGTACGCAGCGGCCTTACTGCAACAGCTGCAACTATTGGAAGCATTAGACTCAAAACTACGGCTACTGCTGAAATAGGTGTTGCTGCTGCTGCAACTCATCATTCCTTGTACACTGCTGTTAACACTGACCTGTTGGGCTTAACCCATGGAGAGGGAGAGGGACAGGGGATGGGAGAGGAACAGGGAGAGCGAAAGAACCCAAAACACTAATATAAGCCTTAAGCCAGAATCCCTAGGCGTATGCTTTCACGGCCGAGCTTCGGACGTGCCAGGTGGGACTCTACGGGGTTTCAGGCATTCAGCGATGAGAAGTGTCTGTTGCGAACTATATGCCGGGATTGTGAGGAGCAACTCCTCCTCCTCCTCCTCCTCCTCCTCCTACCACTACCACTACCGCAGCTACTGCCACTGCTACTGTGACTACCGCTTTTCAAGGTTGCAGGAAACGAGTTTTCAGGTTGAGGGCTTCAGGAGGCCAGGGCCCTGAACCCTGAAGCTCCACTTCCGAGACTTTTTTAAAGTCCCCCCCCACCCTGTGTGGGGCGGCGCCACGGCTTTGTGCGGGGGAGGAAAAGAAGGATCAGCCTTCTGTACACAGGCTCTCAGAGCTCATCGCAATAGTACGATGCACTCGGCAAAGAACACTTGTCACAAGATACGACCGCCTAAACGATATTCCACGGCAGACCCGAAACCCTAAACCCTCGCGGATGCGAGTAGCAAGAGCCGATCTTTTGAACAGGCACAGCAGGAGAACAAACTATGCACTCTGTGTCTTCTGTCTGAAAAAACATACGCCTTATCGTATCAGCATTTCTGCTGATTCTCTGTCACGGTAACTACCGTACATTGATTCGTTCAGCTCCTGCGTTAGCCTCTTGGGCCAAAGCGCGACCCTAAACCCCTAAACCCGACACCCCTAAGCCGAACCCTAAAGCCGAAACCCACGAAATCCCACAGTCCTGAACCCGGCACGCCCTTAAACCGAAAGCAAGCCCCTAACGCCGCTGCCCGAAGCCGAGACCCACCAAGACAGACCCTTCAGAAAACCGTACGGCCCAAAATCCAAGCCGGGGCTCAGGGTTTTAGGGTCTATATAGGCCCTAAACCATAAACCCTGAACCCTGAACCCCAAACCTGGAGGTCGTCCTGGGGCTTCTTGGGCTCTTCTGGTGCTTCGCTGCGCTCTGGGTGGAAATCAGGCCGGGAGCTGGGTGATTCGTGGGGGTTTTGGGGGTTGGGGATTTATGGGGTATAGGGTTTCGGGGGGTTTGAGGGTGTTTAGAGGGTTTTTTTGGGGGGGATTGAAGGCTTTTTTAGGGGTAAGGGTCGTAGTATTTCAGGATTTCGGGAGGGATGATCTGGTTGCACCTCTAACATTCACAGACACGGTTTGGGGTTTAGAGTCGAGCCGCAAGAAGCCCCAAGCCCTGGAACCCCGACTGCAACAAGCATTCTGAACTGAACCCCGAACCCTTACACCCTCCACCCCTCCACCCTACACCCTAAGCGCCTGGACCTAAGCCCTAAGCCTCTAAGCCCTAAACCCCAAACCCTAAACCCCAAACCCTAAACCCTAAACCCCTAAGCCCTAAACCCTAAACCCCTAAACCCCAAGCCCTAAACCCTCATCCTCTCATCCTCTCGGGCTGCGGAGGCTGGAGGTCGTGTACCCCGGCTTCGACTACGAGACGCCGCCGAAGGGAGATCCGGAGATGAAGTCCTACAGGCTGGTGGTTTAGGGTTGTGGGGCTTAGGGTGTAGGATTGAGGGGTTTTGGGTTGAGGGGTTTAGGATTTAGGGTTGTTGAGGGTTTGGGATTTGAGGGTTTAGGGTTTGGGATTGCGAGGTTCAGATTCAGGGTTTAGGAGTCCAGGATTGAGAAGTTTAGGGTTTAGGGTTGGGTTTAGGATTGAGGGTTTAGGGTTCGGTTTAGGGTTCAGGGTCAGTGTGTATTATTCAGAGCTTTCGGAAAGTCCGCTTTTATATTCTGGTTACTGAGTTACTAGCAGGCCAGTTCATGCACCAGTCTGTTCGAGAGGTTGTAGGGGTTGTTCGGGTCTCGGGGTTTGGGAGTTTCGGAAGGAAAGAAGCATATCAACACATTTTAAAGACAAAGCCAACCTGTAGCAGAGGCCGTTCTGCGACTTCGCCCCGTGGGCCAAGTGTAGCAAGGCGCAGGAACCTTCTTGGGCTTCTATGCTTGGGTCTGAGGCTTTAGGATCTGAGGGGTTTCGGGGGTTTTGGGTGAACGGCTTTCGCGGTTTGAGAGTGGAGGGGTTCGGATCTAGTCGAGGTTTTGGAATGTCTTCGAGCTTAGGCTCCGCCTTCAAGGAAGCTTCTGTTCTTTGAGGCCCTTAGAACTTCAGGGTAAGGGCCCAGGGCTGGGAGCTTTTGGGGTGAACCGTTTTGGGGCGTTTTCGGGCGCAGAGCATCGAAGTTGAGGTGTCGGAGCCCTATAAATACCCTAAGCCCTGAACCCTTTAGAAGCCCAAAGCTTCGGCCAAACCGGTATCCACCCCGAGCCGTTACCTTAAACTACTTCAACGAACCTTATCAAGAAACCTTGGGTCTTTACTTGGGTTCTTTGTATGGACCCGGACTATTTGAGGTTAAAGGACCAGGGTGTCCTAGTCAGGTTGCTACATTGCTATGCTTCAGGCCGACATCGGGGGCCTAGAGTTTAGAGCCTGGTTGAAAGTTCTATTTCTTTCGGGTTTAGGGTTTAGGATTTAGAGTTTAGGGTTTAGGGTTCAGTTTAGAGCTTAGGGTTTAAGATTTAGAGCAAGTTTAGGGGTAGTTTGTCAGCGGCCTAGCGTGGGGCTTTGGGGTTCAGAAACCAAGCCGGGCCCAAGGCTAGGCTTCAAAGCCTCACCCCTCGAGATTGTCAAGCAAACTCGCGTTCGCATGAAAGGCACAGTGGTAAAGACAAGGAGCTTACGATGACACGTGGATGGGATCATGCAGCCTTTTTTGGACAACTTCGCCATGCAGTGTGCCATAAGTGCTGTCTTCAGCATCATGTCCACAGTGCTCATTGAACGGGAATATCCAGATCGCAGCTCTCAGTGCATATCCTGAGTCCTACACGTAGCGTCAGACCCGCGAGTGTTAGCGTCCAACTCCATAAAAGCTGAGCCCTGAACCCGAAATCCTACACCGGCCCACCTCCCCCCAAGAGATTCCGGTTCGAGAAACCCTGCTGTCGCAGGTGTTGATGTCCCCACCGGGTCGCTTCCTTCGCTATTTTGGCCTCGCGAAGCCTTTGGTGGAGTCCCCGGTATCAGCATCATCAGCATCATCATCAACAACATCATCATCACCATCATCATCATCATCGTCGTCGTCGTCATCATCATTTTCAACACCACCACCATCATCATCATCATCATCCTCGTCGTCGTCGTCGTCGTCATCATCATCCTCGTCGTCGTCGTCATCATCATCATCATCCTCGTCGTCGTCGTCGTCATCATCATCCTCGTCGTCGTCGTCATCATCATCATCCTCGTCGTCGTCGTCGTCATCATCATCATCATCCTCGTCGTCGTCATCATCAACATCATGGTCGTTTTCGCCATCATAACCACCGCCACCACCATCATCATCGTCATCATCATCATCATCATCATCATCGCCATCACCGTCACCCTCCCCATCACCACCACCATCACCGTCATCATATGCATCCATCAGCATCAGAACGCGCGGCTTATCACCACTTGCTGTTAGTTGCTGCTACTCTCCTTCTGGCTCAAGTTGAGGGATTGCCAATACTCTTCTGTTCAATCATTTCCAGGATTTAGGATTTAGAGTTTAATTGGGTTTATGGTTTAGGGTTCAGGGAAGATGTGCTCAGCAGTAGGCAGGGGCTCTGCAGCAAGTGATCCAGCAAAAGCGACTCGGCGCTTGGGTGTTGTTGTGCGGATCCCTTAACCCTAAACCTCAGCCCTACACATCCTAAACCCCAAACCCCAACCCCTAAACCCCTAAACCCCTAAACCCCTAGACCCCTAAACCCCTAAACCCCTCAACCCTTGAACCCCTGAGATGCAGTCTGGCAGCTCCACCACGAAGTCGAAGAGCCGAGCTCCGCAACTCTCCTCGTCCTGACCCTTAGATCCGAGTATCGGGCGTGTAAGACCTAGAATCGGGTTTGGGGTATATTGTCGTTTAGGGTTTAGGGTTTAGGGTAAAGAGCCCTTCAGCAATAGGAATACTAACTATTCAGGCGTCTATATTATGCACCACCTGCTTCCCCATCCGTGGAACTTCAGATGTCTGCCCTCTTGCACGAGGCTTCGGGTAGCGTCACCGGCCTGGACAAGGTGCGTCCACAACTACCTTGACGTGGTACCTGCATACCCGCCCTAAGCTAGAAGCCTGTAAGCTCCAACCCACATATCCCGAAGCCCGGAGGCGCGGGCTTTGATCGATGTGCCGAACCCCACTTTGGGTGTGCTGTTTTTCGCCGTTCATCTGCCCGGGCACCCGGGGCATTGCTGCGCTGATGTGTTGATGCTTCCAGGGGCATAAAATGATCGCGACCTTTCTCTGCTAGAGAGAACCCGGGACCATGAACTCTCAAACTTGAATGCCTACTTCTCATCTACCTATCTGTCTATCTATCATATTCATGCCGCCTTACTGCTCCAGGACCGAGAGTTATGATCTTTACTGTGGCTCATTGCCATCGTGCAGACAGTACCAACTCCGATTCGCACCCCGAGTTGGAATCGGGTTGAAGGGACGTGCGCTGAACTCCGTGAACAATTTGGGGACAAGGGTTGGTGTTGAGGGAGGGCCCAACACTTTTGTCTTGTGCACTGAGGAACAAGAAACTAAAAGCACACACACACACACAGAGCGACACACACCCCAAACTCCCAAACCATGTAGCTTAATTTAAAACCTTACACTATTAGAAGCCCCCTCCCCCAGACCCTAAAGCTCTTAGTTTCAACACCTCCCCCTGCAAATCACCACCCTGGGCTCTTCTCCAGGAGCCCATGAATGGGTTACAGTGATCTTAGGGTTTAGGGTTTAGGGTTTAGGGTATATGGTAAGTTGCTTGCTTTCGTGATTTCTGGGTCATTCGACTGTCAGTTCTTTGCCTTCAAAGCCCGACAAAACCTTCAGGAACTGCTATGAACCTGTATGATGACTCTCATACAATGCCATTAAAAAAGCCTTTAACGCCTTCGGGCGGAGAAACCGAGGTTTTACCCCCTGCTGCCGGGAGCTCGGTGATTTCTTGCCGGAAAGTTGTAGGGATTTTGACGGCTTAGGGTTCAGGGCTTGGGGTCTAAACCCTAAGCCGTAAACTCTACACTCTAAGCTGTGGTGGAGGGTTTAGGGCTTCTCGTATGATCGATAAGAGGACCTTGCCAAGGAGGGCCGCAAGGCTCTATTGCAGGGATCATATGATGGCAGCTGCTAGGATCCCGCATTACATGGGGTTTGGGGTTTACGCGGCTTTGCGTGTTCAGATTGGCGGGTTTAGGATTGGGGAGTCAGCCTAGGATTGGGTTTCTGTTTCAGGTTAATGCAATCAGGGTCTAAGTGTCTACGCACCGAGTCCTCTCGACTGTGAGGCCCTGATCCCCATTATCCCCTGCACGACGAAACCTGAAACCCAATTCTTCTAAAGTCAGAGCCCCTTTCAGCTTAGAACCTTGATCCGCGCGCTCTACACCTCGCTTCCATCCCCCCACCTGCACATCAAGAATACTCGGGACAGAATACTTCTACGCCATTCCCTTGCGGTAAGCGTGACTGTGAGGAGATTGACTTACCCTGCACCCCGAAACCCTCAGCCATTCCCACCAAGGCCTTGTGTATGTGGAAGACAGACAGTTTAGTTTTGGGTGTAATGCTTATACGGTTCAAGAACGGCTTAGATCGCCTGACTAAAGCCTTGAACCCTACATCGCTACATGGTCCTAGACTCCCAAACCCTGCAAATGCAGTTGCGCCAATTACCGCCATAGGCGTCTCAGGAGCAAGACTGAATAACTAGAAGAAAAGATGTGCAGCACTCACCACTGCCGTTTGAAGAAGTTTCGCCCTGCCTGCCCAACTCGACTTGGTGTCCGGCGGCGTGCACGCAAAAGCAAAGCAAAAGCTCTAAACCTTGAAACCGAGGGTTTAGGGTTTAGGCAGGGCTGAGTCGCAATGTTCAGTACTGCCAGTCCCTGCCACGCCGTAAGCCTCAGAGCCGGAACGCCTCAATGCGCTGAAGCTGCAAGCCCCAAAACATCCAGCCCCAACTACTTAACATTTCAGCCTTACAGCCCTTAGCCTCTCACCCCTACAACCCGCCTAAAAACCGCGAACGACACCTTGCAAAGCCATGGTAAAGTTTCGACGTTCCCTTTAAAGCATGCAGCGCCCCAAGGTTACTTTTCATGCCTATCCCTCTGATCGGCCCGTTGCTGCCGGAGCTCTTCTTCCTTGCCTGCTGCGGGGTCCGGGGCTTTGGTGTTGTCTCGTCTCTGCTTTGGGCTTGGGGTCTATGGGTTTAGGACTCGGGTTTTGGGGGTTCGGGGTCGCGGCTTCAAGGTTTGAGGTTTAGGGTTTGGTTTGAGTGCGAAGCGTGCAGGAATAGTGGCATGGGGCCTGCACCTTTGACTGACTGAGGTTGGGCTGATGACGGTGTGGCTCGCGTCCGGCACTTGGGTAAATGTAACATGCGAGTCTCGGCGACTAAGCAGGTTTTCGAGACGCCGTACATTGCAAACGTGTACTTGAATCAATCCCCGCTAAACTCTGTTGTATCTGTTCTCCCTAACCTGAAACCCCATGCTCGAAACCTCAGCGGTTGGGAACGTGTTTCCGTTGTCTTAAACCGTCCCTCCCACCAGGTACAATCTCGCGTTTGTGCTGCAGGACTTCTGTGTCGTCTGCGTTGGGGCACCCGGATCGGTCGGTGAGGGTCGCAGGGGCTGAGGGCTTTAGGGTTTAGGGCCTTTAGGGTTCAGAGTTGAGATGTCAGGGAGTTACGGTGGCTTCGGTTCTTGTCGTGAATAAAGGGCTTGTCACGATCGCCACGGTGACTTGGCTTCGTAGGAGACATGCTTGCGCATGCATGTCTGTGTCGGAGCTTCGGGCAGTTTGGGGAGCAGGGCTTGCTAGAAAGACTTTGAGTGCTGGACATGGTTTTTATGGAATGAGGTTTTCGTTGTTGTGGCTTTAAGGCCGGATTAGCATCTCAAGCCTGACCTGCGAAGACATACCTGTCATGCAGGCAGACGAGAACTCGTCCAGCACGTCTCTCTGTCTCCCTCCATGCTGGAAGTGTTCCCGAAAAGCTGTGAAATATTTCCGTTGTGCCACAGAGGGCTGTCCTGGCCCGGCAAACATTTCTGCAAGCTCACAGGACATCATCGACAATCGTATCGCTTTGTGTAAGCAGTGTGCAGTACGCTGCCCCTTCTGCGCTGGAGCTATCCGACAAGAGGATTTGCACTCCGTCACCGACAGGCCAGCCACGCTCTTAAGTTGTTCGACCGAAGGAGGGGGTGGTGAGGGGTCGGCCGTGGGTCCAACAGCTGGGATCGATCTCCAGACCTTGGAAGAGTTCAACCTGCAGCTGAAGGAGTTGGCGGACAAGGTGCAGAAGCGAATGCGAGCATTGAGTACGGAGCTTGCGGTGAGCGCGTCGGGTCACCCAGAGATTCTCGAGCTCCTGGAACAGGCCAGGAAGCTCGTCGACAGCCTTGATCAACAGGGTCTCCGGCCGGATGGTGTTACATACCAGTGGCTGATATCCCTGCATGCTCGAGCAAAAGATAAGGAGCACGTCGAAGCGTGGGCCTACAAGATGGAGAACTGCAACAAATGCAGCACGGATGCCTACAACTCTGTCATGTTCGGCTTCGCAGTGCCGCAAGGAATTGATCGTGCTGACATGTGGTTCAATCGCATGTTGGCCCATGATGTGGCGCCAGATGTCAAAACCTTCGCTATTCTCATTCAAGCATGCGCCGCATCCCGTGATTCGACCCGTGCCAGTCGATACTTCCAGCGCATGCAACGCTTCGGCATCGCGCCAAACGTTGTTGTTTTCAGCCAGTTGATCAGTGCTTGCGCCTCTGAAGATCACGACCCCCGCAGCTTGCAAAAGGCAGAAGGGTTTTTCAAGAGTATGCAACAATCAGGTGTGGAGCCCAACAACTTCACATTCATGCGGCTGCTGAAAGCATGTGCGAATGCCGGGGATGCAAGAAAGGCTTCCCAGTACTTCAACTTGAGCGTAGAAGCTGGCTGTGTTCCTAACGTCGTCACATACACCCAGATGGTGTCAGTATTCATCAAAAATGGCGATGTGGCAGGGGCAGAGAGGTGGTTCAGTAAGCTGGAGGCAGCTGGCATCACCCCAAACGTGGCAGCCTTCAATTCTGTGATTCGTGTGTGTGGCACGGCAGGTGACGTCAAACACGCCTCCAGCTGGCTGGAGAAGCTTGAGGCAGCTGGGTGCCACCCGACGGAGCACACCTACGAAGCCCTCATCACGTCGGTCCTTTACCATAAGGACTTCGTTGGAGCAGACAGGTGGTTGCAGCGCATGCTGGACACAGGAGTGCCACCGACCATCAAGATTTTCATTATCCTCCTGAAAGCTTGCGAACACACTGGCAACTTGTGCCAGGCAGAGAAATGGTTCAACAAAATGATCGAGGCCGGAGTTCAGCCAGACGTGCAGGCCTATAACAGCATTTTGAAGACCAGTGCAGTGCATGATTCCTTTGGGCGGTTCCGAGTAAGACAGCCGACGTGCCAGGAGCAACGGAAGTGGTTTCTGAAGATGTATGAAGCAGGTGTGCAGCCCAACGAAGCCACCCATGACATCCTGACGCGTTCCACGTGCTTGCCGATCGTCTCGGCCGTAGCATCCTCCGTCGCTGCAGCTCTGCAGTCGTATAGCCATCGCTTCTGCAGCATAGGAAACTGAATTTGGGCACTTGCCTGGAGTGCTTGGGAAATCGTGGCTCAGGCAAAGGCTGGGCCGCCGCCCACGGAAATTGCACGATGTTGCCTCAGAAGCTCTTGCCAACAAGGATCAGGTCCTTTGAGGCCTCAAATCACTAGGGTTCGGTTACAAGTAACTTTAATATATATATATATATAAATTTGTTTATTTCTACTTATATTTACATTTATATTTGCATTTATATTTATATTTGTATTTATATTTATATTTATATCATTAACTGAACATTTATATATTCATATTAATATATACATATACTATATGGTACAATTAGGTGTCCCGTCTGTTTGAGAGGACCCAAAGCCACAGGTGGCATCCTGAGGGCATGCTGAACGATCAGAAAGTTTGTGCGCCTTTAGCTTGAACTCCACATTCCGACCCGCAAGAAGCTTTGCAACTGCGGCTAAAGGAAGGAAGAATTAGCAACAGCATCCCCTTTCGTTCCCCCTTATAACCCTTTGATACACCCCCCAAGCCCTATCCTAATTTAATTATCAAGGCCCCTGTGTTAGGGTTTTCTCTCTGACATGTTGGCGAGGGATGGAATCGCGAAGTGTCCGGGAATGGCCCTCCCCTGAAACAGGAAGAGGGCGATCTTGAAACGACTGGAGTGATGTAAGATGAAAAAGGCATGGGCTCGTGGAGCTTCTTGGCTTCGGTGTTCCGATGCTTAAGGAAGCTGTGCCAAAGGGTTTGAAACGTTGGAGAGGGTTAGTTTCAGGCTACGACTGGCACCCTCAATCATCATGGTTTATCATCGTTTGCAGTTTGTCATATATTCCGCACGCAGCGTGGGATGGGCATGCTCTTGCTTTTTTTGCAGACACGTCGACAGCCTACGGCCCGAGCTGTGCATGTTTAAGTGCCAGCTTTGCATCTTCAATGCAAACTCCCGACACAAAGCTCAGATCCAGAAGCCTAACTCCCAAGGCCCGAGGACACGCCGCCTGCAGGCTTTCAGGCTTGGGCATAAGGCCCTAAACCGTGAAGCTCTGAATTCTAAGCCCTCCGCGCTAGAACCCTAACACCTTAAAAACCTTAAATACTGAATCGGAAGGCTTTAGACCCCGAAGCAGACTCAGCCACTTTCGAACTTTCGAACTTGCAACCTGCGAGTAGCAGATCCCCGGAATGGTTTGAATTTCCTCACCATAGTTAAAGTGAAATGTGGAAGCCTGAAAACCCCAATTTAGGGTTTATCGTGAACCCTAAATTTTAAGGTCCCTGACCCCCGAGCTCTTTCGGAGGCCCCCCGGCTATACTTTAAACGCCACCCCTTGAGCCGAGGTTTCCATGTACGTTGCGAACTTTGGGTTGATCCCCATGATGCCAGCGGCTGAAGGGTTTAGGGTTTAGGGCATGATGGGTTTGGGTTTAGGGGTTGAGTTGTTCCCCACCCTCGGTAGTCAGCTATTACTCCCGCCCGCTCCTCGCCTGCTGACTACCTCCAAAGACTGCCTGGAGTGCCCCGCTCCCTAGACTACTGTGACTACAGACTAGGGTGAGACTCCCTGGAGAGCCCAACCCCAGAGACCACCGTGAGATACCGTGAGACCCTGGAGTGCCCAACCCCAAAGACTACCGTGAAACTCTCTGAATTTGCCCAACCCGGGGACCCCAGGACCTTAACGCCAGTCAGCGGTGTCCCCGCATGGATCGTCGACTGACCTGAATCGAACACTCGTGTTTTGTTCCGTGTACGGGGACCCCATGCCTGCCCGTAGCGCCAGTCACTGGTGACCTGAATCGAACATTCGTCGTGTTTTGCTCCGTGTACGGGGACCCCATGTCCGTAACGCCAGTCACTGGTGTGACCTCATGGATCGTCCACCGACCTGAATCGAACAGGTGTTGTGTTACGTGACCGGGGACCCCACGTCCGTATCGCCAGTCGGTGGTGTGACCCCATGGGTCGTCGAATACCCTGACTCGAACACTCGTGTTTTGTTACGTGACCGGGGACCCCACGACCGCAATGCCAGTCAGTGTTGTGGCCCCCAAATGCATTATCTGTAGGGTGGGGATGGTCTCCTTTCTCTCCCCCTCTCTTTTCAGAGCTTTCTCTTTTCCTGTCCATGTATCTGCCTGTTGATATTAACCAAGTCCGTGAGTGCGTGTGGGTTTTAGTTTGTAGGGTTTTAAGTTTAGGGAAGCCTTGTTGTAAGACGCCCGAAGCCCGTAAGCCCTTGCGCACTAAATCCCTAAATCCATAGACCCTCCAAGGCCAAAACCCTTAAACCGAAAACTGTGAAGTTCAGGGACCTGCGAACCCTAGGCTTAAATCAAAACATTTCAACGAAATTTTAACGGTTTAGGTTGGAGGAGAATCTAATGCTTCGCAGATTCGGTCAGGAGGCTGGCATCTGGGACTTAGGTTTACGTGGCTAAGGATTAGCATTGCAGGGATGACGAGTCCAGGGTTTTGAGGGCATAACGGAACACGGTTTTGCGAGCTTTGTCGGGGATGTTCGTTTAAGGAAGGGACAGCGTCTCCGCCAGGGCTCTGGGGCTTTGGGTTTTCAGGGCCTTGGCAACCGTCGCGCTTCAAGACTTCCACCTCTCCTTGACCCTAAATCCTAAACTCTACATAAACCCGAAAACCCTAAACCCCAAACCCCTAAACCTCTGAAGAGGCCACTACCATGTCCAGAAAGTATGAGAAAGCCGGCCAAACATGGAACAACACCCCATCCGAAAGCCTCGGTCTGACCACGAAATGCTGGAATCCCTAAGTAGAGTTCGGGTTTAGGGTTTTAGGGTTTCGGGCATAAGGGGCCCGAAACCCGAAAGCTCAAAGCCACAAACCCCAAATCTACATCCGAATCGGCTCCAACCCTGCCAAAATTTCAGCCCCACCTTCAATATCCCTGACTTCTTCAAGGGCACTAGCTGCTGAAGTAGCAGCTTTCTTGGGCTGTTGGGCCAGTTTTGGAGCCACGGAAACTTCATTCCGGTAGGCCCACTCATCTGGATACTTTTCGAGCTGCTTTGTGTTCCCAGCAGCTTTTCTTCCCATGCTAAGTGTCGGGTTTCAGAGTTGCTCTATGGACTCCGAAACTGGACCACAGCCGTAAGATAAACACAAAGTAGTTGTAATCATAGAAGCAGGAGCAGACATGATAGTATGCCTATGGCAACCAGTCCTCCGCTCCTTCGTTCTCACTACAACGCTGGACGGCGGATTTTCAGCCTAATCGGTTCAGCTTTGGCTTTGGGCAGGAGCGTGACACGGGCCACACAGTGCGACTCAGGCGAGTACAGGTGACGTGGAGGTGGAGCTGGAAGCCGTCCTAGACCGCTTTGGCGCAAAGGAGCCTTAAACCCTAAACCCTAAATCCTAAGCCCCAAACCCTAAACCCCAGCCCTAAAGTCTAAAACCCTAGACCCAAATTCAAAACCCTAACCCCCAAAAGCCCGAAACTCTAAAACCCCAAACCCGGAACCCCAAACCTTAAAACTGCGATGAAATGCACGCCAGAGTCGAAGGCACGACCTAGCTCTGGAAGGCGCCTCAGTCGGTGAGGCCGCGCTGCCACCGGGTTTGGGGTGTCTTGGGATTGAGGGATTTTTAGGGTTTGCAACATGGTTGGGTTTTTTAGGGATTTTGGGGTTTGTAGGGGGTTTGACGGTCTTAGGAGCCAAGCGGGAATGGCCTTCTGTTTTCGTAGGGGTGCCCCAAGAATCAGAACTGTTTTTCTGGAGTTCCCAGGGTGCTATACCGGTTTACAGTATAGGGTTGTACAGGGTGTAGGATGGGGGCCGGCGGCAGCTAGACTGGAGTTGCAGAAGGATCTTATGGGGTCTCTTAAAATTCTCTGGCGGCTTTGGGGTTCATGGGGGGGCCTCATGAGTTAGGTTGGGGTAGGGGCTCGTCATATACGGGCTTCATACGATGCCCAGAGCTTCTTAGCATTCTTAGCATGAGCGTGATGTTTAGAGGGCTCTTGACTCTTGACTATTCCCAGAAGCAACTAAATATGCAGGCCGTATAATTTACGCATGTATACCCGATCAAAAGCAAAAGCAGCGGAGATGTTTTGCCAGGGCGCCTTCTTTGGGCAGGTGCCGGGGCCGTGCCCTCATTGGGGTGGGTTTGGGGCATTGCTTGCACTCTAAATTCCAAACCTTATATAAGCCTTACAGAGTTATAGGGTTCAGAAAGAGCAGAACCCTACGCTCCGATCCCCAGGCTGTGACATAAATCTTCAACATCCTTAAACCACAAAAAATTGGACAGAGTTTCGGGGTGGGGCTTGTTTTCAGCCTCACCTAAACTGAGCACATACGCCTCGCAGGTTCAGAAAAAGCCTTGTGAAGCAGTAAGAAAGGGCTATGTAACAAAGCCCTAAACCCTCTAAATGGGCGCCTCAACGATCTACATCCTCAACCCTCAGCTCAGCCTCGCACCTTAAGCCCTGATACCTTGAACCGCGAACCCAGGATCCCTCAGCCTTTAATCCAAAATGACCCCAAACTCCCAAACACTCAGCCCGAAACCCCAAAAATCCTACACCCGAAATTCCTAACCCTAAACCTGAGTTGGTTCCTCTACTCCTTCGGTGCACTGGACGCCGTGATGGGGCCTCCCTGTCGCACAAATGGGGGGGACTTCTGAAGTGGGGACTTCAGAAAAACTGGAGGTGCTTGTTCTGGGCTCTGGGTGTCCTTGTAAAAGGATTCTACTGGGTTGGGGCGTGTATTAGGGTCCACGAAGTCGGATTTTCAATGATAATCTTGGTGGGGGATCTTGGGTGTTGGTGGCTTGGAGTTGTTACCGGGGATTAGGATTTAGGGTTGAGGGGTTTATGTCGCGTTTCGGGTCAAGGACTATGGGCCTTGGTTGTCAGGTTTCAAGCATTGTGAGAATGATTTGTAAAAAGGTAGCGAGTCTCTTGCTGCACCGTTTGGGAGTTCGTTGGTGGGCTTGGTATGTCAGTGGTTTAAGACCAGCCCCTAAACCC